TTTTTTGAGACAGGGTCTCACTATGTAGTTGAGATTGACCTGGAACTCACTGTTTAGCCCAGGCTGGTATTGAACTCACAGTGATCCTCCTGCCTCAGCCTCCCAAGTGCTGGGATTATAGGTGTGCGCCACCATGCCCAACTAACTAGATTTACATTCTTTAAAGATTTTCCCCTGTGGGAGTAGGGTAGTTTATCTAAACATGGAATGTTTATTTTCATTTCCAGAGAAATGGCTACTGTCTGGTAGTTAGCAAGAAGTTTGGGCCCTGGAGGATTTTTGTTCTTAAGTCTGTTCTTCCTCACGATAGTTTGTCAATTATACTGTAATAATTAGTTTGTAGTATTGTCATACTCTTCCTGAGTGAAAACCCTACATTTAGCTCTGTGATTCCAGGCCCATAACTGACATTTTTCAAGCATCCCTATCAAGTTGGGTTTTGCACACTAGATGTGGGTATGGAGTCAGTGTCCTCCAGGGTTTGCTCTCAGGAAGATCGTATCTGTAAATCCACCAGCCTTAACGACCTACCTGGAGCTACATTCAGTCCAACACCAGTTTTCCAGCTGGGTACAGCCTGGAAGATTCCTTAGAAGGCCTGCTTGAGTGAACAGGGCCCCTGTGGTATTAACTTGATGGCTCCAAGACACAGTGAAATCCCTGGGTAATTCTAGGTGCTCAATAAGCAGATGATAAATTGCTAAAGTCAATAGTCTTCATGCAGGGAGGGTGTGTATCTTGTACAAAGTAGGATTTGGGGGCTCTGGTCTCTGGCATGAGCTACGAGAGATCTCTAGGGTTAATAGTCTCCATTCCCCACAGTGGTTTTTATGGCAAGTGGTCCCAAAGTATTTGCTGGACCTGATTCTGTAGCCTGGGACCCTTGAGTCTTGAACACTTTGCCTCTAGAGATTAAGATAAGAAGAGAGGGCCAGGGATTTAGCTCAGTGGTTCCACAGTGCCTGTCTTAGAAGCGCAAGGACCCAAGTTCCATCCCTGGTACCGAAAAAAAAAAAAAAAAAAAAAAAAAAAAAAAAAAGAGAGAGAAGGAGAGAAAAGGAGTAATTGTATTGAATATAGAACTAGAAGGTGAGGAAACAAACACTTTTGTAGAAAATGGACTAAATCTTGGGCTTCACTCTCTCCTTCCAGGTCCTAATGGGGAGAAGAGCTGGCCCAAGAAGTACCCATCATGTGGGGGCCAGCTGCAGTCTCCAATAGACCTACACAGTGACATCCTCCAGTATGATGCCAGCCTTGGGCCCCTGGAGTTCCAAGGTTACAATGTGTCTCCCAGTGAACTGCTGAACCTGACCAATAATGGCCATTCAGGTAAGGGAGAGACCTGAGGGGTATTCTGGGCTTCCCTTGGCTCCCCGGCCTGACCTTTTCCATATGTGTGTGAGGCAGGGTCTGAGGCACCCAGAAGGGGCCAAGTCGGTGGTGGGGAGGACTCCAAGGCATGCTGAGGTGATTCTGCCAAAGCAGCATATCTCAGAAGAAGCACAACTCTCAGAATTGGGGAGGAGCTCCTCGGTCCATTGGCTGCATTGCAAGAGGGAGTTCTGGGCCATCTTGAGCTACTTATAGGACCATGCGGTTCCGCTGCAGGGAAGGGAGGGGAGACAGTCGGCTTTAGCATCAGGAAAACCTGGATTTGAATCTTGGCTTGACTATGGCCATCAAACTCTGGGCACAAATTTTAATCTCCCTGAGCTTTTATCTGGAAAATGGACATAGTTATGAGCACGGTGAAGACTGCAGATCAAGTATGTCTGGATCTAGGGTACTGTAAATGTTTCATAAATAGCAATTATTGTGGCTGCTGCTATAATATAATTCTAAAGCTTAGAAGGTTCTATCTTCATGTTCGGGGGTCTGAAACACAGATATGTAAAGAAACATCCATCAGGGGCCTAGTTAGCATTTGTACATCCAGCATCACTTTCCAAGGGGATCCATGAAGGTGTTGGTGCCACTGGAGTTGCTCTGGGGTGACAGGGATGCTCTCAGTGAGAGGCCAGCTTCTTGACCTGCAGGTCCACGCTTCACTGCAGCCGCCTTGCCCCGTCCGGACCCTAGGCAGGGTTTGCCCCCCTGACTGCTCTCTCGCATCACTATGCTGGGCAGGGCTCTGAATGCATCTCCTGCACTCCCCACAGTGAGACTGTACCTGCACCCAGACATGCACATCCAGGGCCTCGGCTCCCACCGATTCCGTGCCACACAACTGCACCTGCACTGGGGGGACAGTGAGGAGCCCTTTGGTTCTGAGCACACCATCAGTGGGAAGCACTTCGCTGCTGAGGTGAGTGGACTGCTGGTCTGGTGAAGTGGACAGCTTCCCCTAGTGAGTGGCCTAGCAGCCCCTCCACCTAGCTGGTGTGTGGATGAGGTGAGGGCACTGGTGCCTTCACAATCCAGCCTGCACCAGCCACTCTGGCCACCCTGTAGCTCATCGGTAGGGTTCCTGGTCCCTTCCTTTCCCTGCACATGATGAGTTGGTCTCTGTCTCCTTTGTTGAGAGAGAGTTCTGGGAAGGCTGAGTTCCCTGGATGGCACAGTGGGATGTACGGGGTACGTACATCCTTTTCTAGACATCATCCTCTCTGTGCAGAGAGAGATCTCATCTGCTTGCCTGGCTGATGCATCTCCTGCTGATTCACACTGGGCTCACTGCTCCCCGAAATTCACAGTCTTTCTTCACATGTCATACTGTTTACAAATGTCTTTCCATCCCACTTTTTTTTTCTCCCCCTGCATATGAGTCATGCTTGGGAACTGAGGACAGATGCAGGGCTATGCTTCTCTTTGGCCACAAATCGAGGAATGACTGGCATATAATGTGTGGGACATCATGGCAGGCAGAGACTCACTGAGGTATTCTGGGATGTCGGCACAGAATTGGGCCATGTCACCTGAGATGCTCACTCAAAATGCTAAAGGAAAGGAGAGGAGGTACAGAGCATTTTCTCCTGTACCACAGCACGTGACAGGGTAAGAAGGGAAGGGCATTGAGTTGCTCCATTTTGGTGCTGCTGCAGCAATGGGCTGAGCATGTGGTTCTGAATGTTTACAAGGAAATAAATACAAGGAGATAAATGCTAGCAATCAGCCAGCAGAGTGCACAGTAAATACTGGGATGACCATTCTCCTCCTTCCTTAACTGCTGAACTGCTTAATGTCTCAGGCTAATTATAGGTCTGGTTACAAGTGTGGAGGGCATGATCCTGGCCCAAAAGGATGGAGCTACTGGAGATTCACAGATTTCAGGGCAGGCGCTTCCCTGAAGCTCAAGAACTGCAATTTCTTCCTGGCTAATTGCAATGTTGAGACGTCTCTTTCCCTTGTTAGGACTAAAGAAGTTAGGATGTAGGTTGGTAGGGCTTAGGCATTTAAAAATAATTCTACTCACTGTATTTTCTGCTATTAAGCCACATCATCAGACCAAGAGCCTGATGCAGACAGACCATCAATGCTGATGCAAGACATCAGGGTGACCCTAAGCAGCAGATTCTCTAGGGAGACTTTGAAAGTAGTGGTTCTACTGGGTACAGACTTAAATCCTTCGGTAGGAGATTTCTTTTGAATTAATCTTAATACATTAAGAAGAGTGCTCAGACAGACCACAAGCTCAAAGGTCATCAGTAAAAAGAAACAAGGTCCGTAGAAGTTTAGCCATATAGAATCCTGCTATGTCTCAAATTCATGCTAGGCCACACAGTGGGCAATGTGACAGGCTCTATCCTTTAGGGTAACAGAAGTATGGACCCCTAAGGAATTTCTAATACAGGACCACTTAAAAGAAGAAATAATTTGGTACAGTTTTAAAAATTAGAGAAGGCCACTTAAAAGTTCAAATGGGGGCATTACACTGTAGTCAATAAAACATGCCTGAATTCTATTTACAGACATATAAATGGAAAAAAGGAATGAAAATATAGAGATAAAAACATCAATGTTTCATAATCTCAGGGGTACATCAATAAACACACAGGTGTGATATATATGTGGAGCTATCTACTAATAAAAAAAATTTTTTTTTGGAGGCTAGGTGACTACACTTTTAGTGTTAAGTCAGGCTAGCCAGGCATAGTGGCACTTGCTTGTAATCCTAGCACTTGGGAGGCTGAGGCAGGAGGAGGATCACCATGAGGTTCAAGCCCAGACTGGGCTACTTTGTGAGTTTAAGGCTAGTCTGGAATATTCACTGAGACCCCGTCTCAAAAAACAAAACAAAACAACAACAAAAAACATAGGTCATGCTAAACATTATCAGAGTCTGTCACAATAATGGTCTTAATATTTGCCTAGACTGTTTTTTTTTTGAAACAAGGTCTTGCTATGTAGTTCAGGCTGGCCTTGAACTCACAGGGATCCTCTCGCCTCCACCTCCTGAGTGCTGGGATTACAGGGGTGCACCACCATGCCCAAGACCATGCCCAGCTTCCAAGACTTCTTAAGCCTGTAATTTCTCAAAAACTTCTCTTTTCCTCATTTTAATAATGTCAAATAATTTGTGCTCTGAAAAGAAATTATTTTAGAATTTTATTTTGTGAAGATAAGAGTCTAGTCACGAAGTAACATTCTTGTTTTGTGGTCTCTATAAAAGTGTCTGATGAAACCTTTACAAGAGCCATGCTGTCATTTTCTTCCCATGATGGATAAACATCTATGTCTCTTGCTGTGTCCATAACAATTCGGTTATAGCTGGAAGTTGCCTGCCAATCTCCCAGCCCTCCAGTTCTTCCAGATCAAGTGTAGAGGTCAAGCTTGAGGCTGTGACAGCCACTGGAGAGCACTTTGCCCCAGGGTCCAGAAGAAGTAGGAAAATCAAAAGCGGGAAGAACTCCAAAGTTCCCAGGCTTTTTTTTTTTTTTTTTTTTGGCTAATA